GCAACAACAGTAACAACAACAACAACAACAGCACCAATAACATGAAACAGCCGCTTGTAGCAATTCTCACATCATACGATTGGCATTGAGATTGCGTCTTGGTATTGGAAAATTCCCAAGGCTGTCATATGTAAGCACAACTAGACGGGCGATGGGCATGACACAGAGCCACGCACACATGCCCATGCCTTCAATATGTAAATTTGTCATTGAGCAAACAAAAAAGGAGTGAAATAATCATAAAAATGTCAATGCCGACAACGAGGAGCATGGAACATGGAGAGCGAGCTGTGTTTGCGACAAAATCCTGAATTGAATTTTTATCTATTGTATGGGCAATAAAGTCACATTGTCATAGCGCCTGTGTAGAATTATTATTATTTACTTTTCGAAAAAAGTAACAAATAAGAAAGAAATAAAAGAATGCAACGGGCTCAACCGGGATTTGAACCCGGGACCTCTCGCACCCAAAGCGAGAATCATACCCCTAGACCATTGAGCCGCTTACGATCGGAGCGTAAATTTAACAAAATTTTAATTGTTTTTTGCATTTATTTTTTATTGCAACTCAAGTTGATCTTTGCGTGCATAATTTATTTAAAATAGCGTGCATTGGTTATTTATGGTAACACAACTTCAAGGCACAAATTTGTACAGCTCCAACCGGCTGTGCAGTTATTTGATGATTCGCTTTAGTCTTCGTCTTTTCAGCTGTTTTCTTAATTGAAGCGAGCGCAGCTGTGCACGAACTTATTATTTTTGTTTTCTTCATTTTCTTTTTGTTATTAATAATAGGTTTTAATAAATTTTACCCTTATCATTGGGGCGTTGATTTATTGACTTTTAAACGCTGCAGTTTCTCAACACGCAGCTGACTCATCAAATTTGTTTTGTCTTCTGCCTTTTGGCATGCTTTTAATTTAATTTGAAAAGTTTTGCCTGCCCATTTGGCGCATTAAACCCTTTGACCTGCACGGAAAAAAAATAAAATTTGTGCAGGGCAAAGCAAATTTTAAAAAATAAGTAAAAAGATGTCTCATAAATAATTATGATAACTGTCAGAGTTTTATGCTGCGCTGCAAATTGCCACGCCCTTCATAATCACCCACCCTTGAATTAAAATGGAATTAAAAAGCTTTGCTTTTCAGGCTAGCCAAAGGAATACAAAGAGAATTTACTGAGCGCAGGACCGAAAAGTCTAATTGCTTTACTAATTGCGGTAGCCGACAATATGCTAACTAAATATATGAACTATGTTTTTAAACTATGATATAAAATTTTTTTAAATAATATTTTATAAAATCAATATATTTGAAAATTTTAGAAAATTAAGAGAATAATGCTTTCAAAATATTAGTAGAAAACAAATAAAATATATTAGATATGTGTCTTCCATTTAGAAGAAGTCATAAAGTCTTTTTAGCTCGTTTTAGACAGCTAAAACTTTTTGTGTCGTTATAAATCACATGGCTATAGCCATTGAAGATTTATGAGCTGCTAAATATGCTACAAAGCAATGAAGGAGAATTTCAGCTGGTAGTTCGAGACTTTCCGTGCTGTCGGTGGGAAAGTTTAGCACTTTATCCATATTTAAAATATAATTATTGTATACTTTAGTGTATGTATGTGTAAATGTGCTATGAATATATTTTTGTTGCTATCATTTTTTAAGCTAACAGATAAACAAAGTAAGTTTCTAAATAAAAAGAATGTTATGGTAAATAAAATTTAAAATAACAAAAATGTAAAAAATAAATA